AATGATGTAAAGTAATTCATAATCTATAAAAATATTCAAATAAGATTCTAATAATTTTTTCAAACAAAATAAAATTATAATTCAAATATTATTATTTAACGAACTAAATTTACAACAAATCATTTATTATATAATTTTTTATAATATATTATGCTAAATTATAGGCCGACTTAGATATAATTATTCTCGTCCTTATCTCTGTTTTCTGGAAAAATTCTTGTAAAAATTTTGAAATTTATCTCGATTTCCATTTTATACTTGATAAAATTTGCAACTAGCCATGGATTAGGGTTTTGCCACTACCCCAATTTTTATTTTTATTTTTAATTTTGAATAACGAAAAGATAAAAGGGCAAATTATATGTTTTCTGAGTTCCAGGACAGGCTCCCCTCCCTCTGGAGCGTTACCGAATCCGAAGTTCAACCGCAAGCTTCTTTCCCTTATGGTCGTTAGAAGAAACCTAATTTGTTTGCGAATCCATTGTTTTTTTAGATTCCAGTTGAATAGTTCATAGTCAAGAGAGATGCGAAACAAATGCATCGGGGGAAGGCCAAGGCGCTTCCTACTTCTCCTCAACCATCCGCTATGGCCTTCAGTTATCTCGGTGAGAGCCCTCAGGTATATTTACAAATACATGTTTATAAGATATTCGTATATCTGTTTCTTTATGGGCGTTTAGGTTTTCCTTTTTCTTTCTTCGCTGATGATTATTTTTGTTTTATCTCGCTGATTATTATTTTTGTGGATTAGTATGACATGTTTTATCTCTCCTACAACAATATCGGCAACAAACTTGTAATTGGTATTCGAAAGGAATGTGTAATTGAAGTGAAACAGAGTTCAGCTTCTCTGATTAGAAGAGACTTGGCTCTGGAAGTAAAGGAGAATATTATGATTTCTTTCCATCTTGTTTGGATGGACTGGAGAGCAATGGATACATGTTTACGCCACGCTCATCATTTAATTTCTACTTTGTATGCTTAGTTGGTTATGTATCGTAACAAACTTTCATGTGAAGGGCAAATGTTTTTCTCTGCAAACTCTCCAGTTTTCGATGGATTTAAAATAGGGTTATTAGAGGTTTAGAATTCTCTCTTTTTCTCAACTTTTCTCAAAAATCTAATAAAATTGAGTGATTTTGAGGGTGAGATTTCAAATTCCTTTATTTTCTCTTCAAATCACTCAATTCAAACGAACGGTAAGTAAATAATTTTAGCCTAATAAATTTTCTGAATTGGTGTGCTCAGGAATTCCTTTGAACTTTACATGTATTTCTTTTATTTTTACAACCAAGATGTAGAGAAGTTATCCATGCTTAGATATAGAAGTGCTCTGAAAACGGCTAAATTGTTTTACTGCAGAAGGCATGCTTTGTAGAACTCCAATTTGTGCTTGTGGATAAACTTTGTGTGCTGAACATACTGACTGTTAGTAGATTTTGCTCAAGATAGCTCATTTATTTCCTTTTCTGTTTTTCCTGCAATTGTGCAGTTCTCTAATTCTGAAGCACACCCTGATTGTACCTCTACTGATAATATAATCTAATACCAATGACCCGTGTAATATAGTGGTACCTGAAACTTCTAGTGGTAGTGATAAAAATAGGCAGTGCCATGACTTCTCTCCTAGTATAAATGGCAAAGTGGTTGCTGTAACCAATAAGTGTTCTGCTTCCGAGTCCTCGGGGCATAAGTGGAGAAGATTATTGTCTGGAAATGGATGGACAGAGAAAAAAACTTTGTTTAAAATGCGATAAAGTGGCAAAGTGCTGGTCTGTAGTGACAGCAGCTGCCTTTAGCGGTACATGAGGAGTGCATGCACTGTGTAGCTCAGTTGGATAGTATGGGAAATTTCTACTGTCCTTACTGCTTATATAAACAAGCTATGATGGAAACACATAAAGCAAGGGAAAAAGCTATGTTGGCTAAGCGGGTTTAGCTGCTTTCCTGGATGGAGAATGATGGATGGTGACTTAGAGAAGCAAAAAGCCACCAGAGATTGCAGGAAAGAGCCAAGTCCATCAACTGTTGCAAGAGACAGAGAATATGACAAAACTCAGAACACCTCTGATGTTAACGGCATTGAAAACCATCATATTCTAGTGGAGGAAGTCCAACATGGTGAAACATTTAAACCCAGATGCAATACAAGTTTTCAACAAAATGATGGTGGTGGTGTGTCTGGTAGGGGAAAAAGATAAAGAGAATCAACTTGAAACGCTGCAGGTCGGTGGTGAAAGTATTCGAGTTGGATTTCCAAGACTAGTTAATGACTGCCAAAACATGAGAGTGGTCCAGAACGCAAGCCTTTGAATATGTTTGTGCAGAGGAAGAGACAATGATGGATGGTATGCTTCACTTACCAACAGAAAGGGTATTGGAAAAGCCAGAGATCGAGAAAGAGGAGGAAAACAGTAGACTGCACGAAGAAGAGATGCAGGGACGGAACATGAAACTACTGTGCCCTCTAGAAGAGGTGACTCTTTGGAACAGGAGCATGAGAGAGCTAATCAAGCTGTTTCATCAAATGGAAGCCTGTTAAAAGAAAGATTAGAAAAGTCATAAAGCCTTCCAAAAATGGTCATCTCTGGGGCAGTCACCAAGGAAGTCATCTTTTGAACTAAATACCAATGAGGTGCACATGAAGAAGGAGATTTCTGCCAAGAAATCTAGGCAACGATGTGAGTGATTTATTTTATATATACATGATAAGACTGTTTCTTCTTTGTGTGGTTCACACAACATAATGATGGGTGGTGCAGCATTTTAAATTGCTAAATAATACAACATTTATTGTTAATTAATTCCTAATTTGCAGGACAACTCCAACATCTGCTAATGTGAACGCAGAAGAAAACTCTGGACAGCTGAGAGGAAGAAATGCTCAAGGTATGGGCTTTCCTTATAGCAAACCCACTTTTGGTTAGAAATTGATTTTACTGTTTTGTTGTAAGAAAAAAGTAAGTTAATAAAAGTAGAAAGACCAGTTATATAAATCAATTGCTTCATGAGAAATTCACCAATCACATATATGATGTTAACTACTTCATTTTTCCTTTGATACCAATTCACATGAAAGATTAGATATGGGTGTATTTCTTTAGAAGATTATAGAGGAGTACATAACTTTGAAAGAAAATTAATAATGAAGACCAACTACAGTCACATAGAATAAAATCAGGTCAAATCATTGGGTTAACATCACCAAACTACTTTCTGAGAAAGTATTTATCTATGGTACCTAGGATGTTGGCTAAATTTTCATTTGACACTCATTCACATGACAGATTCGATATGGTTGTATCACTGTTTAAGATAAAATGGACACAAGTGGTCCTTTAAACTTGGGGTGGATTGCTTCAAAGGCTTGACTTCTTATACATGAGATTTGTTAACATGGAACTTTGAGAACGGGGTTAATTTTTGCAGAGAAACTTGGACTAGAATTAAGTATTGAATTCTAAGTAAATTAGGTCCTATAGTCAATATGCTGATCTATTTGTTCATTTCTAAATGAGTATCAAGTTGATGGAAGCTATTAATTCTAAAAGAGCTACACGAAAAGACTTCAGAGAACATTTTATGGCAGTTTATGTGTAGCAAGTTTTTAGCTATATTATTTTCCTTTTTTATTTTGTTTCCCTTTTCTAGTAAACATTCTGCTCACGCTGTATAGTCCATCATGGGTTTGATATGCCATCCTTTTAGAGTATGAAGTTTTTTAAGTGCCTAAAATGCCATTTACTTGTTCTTTTTGACTCAATCTATATCTTAGTTCATTTAATACAATAATGCTGCAGGAAGGAGTGCAGAAATATTCAAGCACGGTCAACAAAAACATACCGTGGAGGAAAATTTGGAATTTGGTTGCCATGTATTTGATATATCTCGTACTCCAGCTGACCTCAAGGATAAATGGAGGAACAGTTTGGTGAAGTCTGCCAAGTAAAATTATTAGTGGTTACTTTTGCTTATGGCAATGAGGAGGAGGTAAATCTTTGATCATTAATAATAAGGTTCAAATATCTAGTTGATCCGTTACTTTTGTTGGGCTCTTTGTGTCCAGTTTATTATTAGGTAGGGTTGAACAGGACATGAAGCTGAGACAAGTCTTCTGTTATTTATCCGCATGTACATGTTGTTGACAAAAAAATAAAAATGTGTGCAGTAATTAATTGATTTACTTGTTCTCGTGACAAATTTCTCTCTGTATTCTTGGATTACTTCATACAGCGTGTAGTTTAAATGACAAATGCTATGATTTTAGGTTCTCTCAATCTCTGTGTCCAACGAGGGAACGACTCTGGAATGGCAAATTTTAACAGGGTTCCAGAAACTGTCAATTTAATTTTAATTTTTCTACAATAAAAATCATTGTGTCCAGACGATCCTCTTGTTCACTTTCTGCACCATCAACCATTGTTCTCAAGCTTCATTATTGCTAAATTTAGTTATCTAACACCAGAGAATTGGAAAGAGGAAACGACAATGCCGGGAAGCACAAACGCTATTGAAATTACAATTTGAAAACTGTTTTTGTTGCAGGTGCTCATGGGCATAGAGGGGTTCTAACTATGCATCATCCGTCATTGTAGACTCTCTTCACAAAATTATCACACAGAATTAAACTATATCATCCACCGCCATTTCTTAAGCTCGGGGACGACTAATGGATTCAATTCTGCCCCTTGAAGAGAAAAGAAAAGGCAAAGAAAAAATGTAGAGTTATATCGACAAAGTGATTTTAGAGTTCACCAGTCATGCCTTTATAATGCAACCGAAGCAATGAACTGTTGTTGTCACAAATAAAGATAATTTGAAGATGAAACATTTATTAGAAGACCTGTACAGGACAGCTTGCAAAGTCGTCTCTCATGCTATATATCTTACATACAGTAGAGTGCAGTAGACTCGCGGGCCCAAAAGTGAGGAAGACTCCTTTCCGTGGCAGAAAAAGGATAGTTAGGTAGATGATCCCTAGATGACGGTTCCAGTTGGAATCAAAGCATCCTGATGACAGTCCACGATCCCACTCTTGATGAAGTATCCATCTGTTTCCCGAGCTGCTTCTTGAAATTATCAGTGTTAACGATCTGCGATAACAACGATCCACAATTAAAGCTTTCACCATCAAAACCAATGATTTTCAGTAATAAAGGCAAACATAATAACGTGCTATCAAACGTGAACTGTTCCTTTTGCCCCCTTACTTATGATTTTTGTGTAATAAGGCAAACATAATAACGTGCTGTCTAACGTGAACTGTTACTTTTGTCCCCTTTACTTATCTGGCAATTTTCTCATTCTACATAAGCATGGTTGTAATAGAAGTTTAGGAAACATCCCACATAAGCCAAGTTCAGGGTTTAGAATTTATTCCTTTTCTTTTTGCTGCTTAGCAGCTCAAGGAATGCCAGTATGGCATGTCTTTGGCTGTTTAATATGCAAATAGATAAAACTTCATTGTGCACTCTTATCTTCAATTTGAACTTAGCTTTATTGCAAAATTGAAATATTCATCAGTATACTAGATGTTATGCTTAGGTCAAGAAATATAACTTCTATTACAAATTGAAATATTCATCAGTAGACTGGATGTTATGCTTAAGTCGAGAAATTACCTTCACATTGTCTCCAATGCGAGCATTCTTATCAATAATTGCTCTTTTGAGTGAGAGTTCTTCCCAATACCAATTGGAATGCTCCCTTTAGCAGCCAGAAATCTTCTGTCAGCATCAGTCTGGAGCAAAAAATTCAAGATCAAGAGTATGGCTTTACCATTGAATAAGCAGACTTACTATTAGGGTGTGAGCCAATTTGTACTGAATGTACTACATATTATTATAATAAATTATTAGTTTTACCTCGTAATAATCT